TTATAGGTCAATCTCTACTATTGAAACAGGCAGCACAGCTGAGAAAGACAGCAACCGCAGTTGCTGGGGACAATGTGATGGGACTAGTACACCAGAAAACTGTCTCTGCCCCTGTTTGGGAGTATGTTCCAATGATAAAGATGAACCAGACCACTGTTGAACTCTTCAAGCTCCAAAAGCAGTTTATTAACCACATGGTTTTACTACACTGCAAGTCTGCCATCATTCCTGCTCTTACTACTGAAAGTGGTATTATAGTTCACTGCTGGGTATACGGCAAAATAGTCTTTAATATTGTAAAGAACCTAGGATCAGTCAAAAGACAACAGAACACTGACGCCTTCATGCAAACCCATTCAAAAGTGGCCACTTGACTGTTCATGCAATATTACTATTTGAGCTCTTACTGGCCCAATATCTGAAGAAGATTCGTAAATTCAGAGCTTGAATTTTACTATTTGGATCACCAGCCCAAGTATATCAACTCATCCTGCCAGCATCTTGGAGACATTTAAGATATGAATTCTTTTCACTGCCAGCTTTAACAGTTACTGAGCATGGTTGAGGGTAAACAAGGCTGCTTGACCTGCTGGCCAGCAAAAAAAAGAAAAAAGAACTGTTGAGAGTGAAAAGCAAGCCATCCGTCACTGAAGCATTACCAGACTGCATTACATTCAAACAAAACTCTCCCTGATGATTAGATTAACTGCCAAGCACAGATGGCAACTAATGACAAGCTGTGTTCAATAGCTAACCTAACAAAATATAACACTACCCTGAGGTATGAAATGTTAAATTGTTATATAGCATTCCTTAAACGTGACTTTCTACAATGCTAAATAATGGTAAGCTGGTCACCTTGGCCTTGAATAGATTTGCAACTTAAAGATCTAGGTAAATGGACAAACTTTCTACAAATATGCTGCATTCAGGCTAGCGAATTAGTTAACACTTTAATACTTCTTCAGTTATTTTCAGACAAGTATGTCACAAATTATCCTCTATTATTAACAAAAATAATAATAATTAGTTCATCTTAATATATTACAAAAATACATAGGCGGATGAAGTATTCAGATTCTTTAAGTAAAAGGACAAATTTAATAGTTCTGTGCTTGTAAATGTAAGCATAAACCAAAAAACAGCTTACAAAGAACAACAATTACTCAATGCAGACTATATATATCTTTTTATTCATTTTAAGTGTGTTTTTAATTGCTTTCTGCATTAGCTGACTGTTCAGTTCAAAAACTGACATTCAACTACAACTTTTAAACATGACAGCTGGAACCAGCAAATGTTTGGAACCAGCTGTTTGACTAGTCAAATAATTGTTTTGGCTCTGGATACAACAGCTCCTAATAACTAATCAATGCACAACTTATGTGACACAGCGGATAAACACTGACCAACAGGACAACACCAGTGTTTGCCTCACATATTAGGACATCTCTAGTTAATAAAACAACAACAAAGTCTTAAAATGTTCTGTGTAAAAAAACTCGTCCATTAGAAAAGCTGTCAGATAAACGTAGTGAAGTGAAACGTGCCATTTCCCTCTGAATTGTTGTGGAATATTAACAGAAAGGAAACACTGGAACACCTCACATCTCTACTTATGTACAGTATTTACGGTAATATAGGGAGTTACAACCAGCCTAGTAATAACTTACCATGTCTAATGATATTAGGTGACAGAAAGCATTGAGACCCGGGTGGTCCGCTCCTACACAAACACCATTACTGACAACTGTTACCTCTGTGTTAGCTAACTGCTTGTATGCACAGAGTCCAGTTTTTAAATCTCCATTTTTAGCTGTTCGCACTTTACTGATATTAATATTATTATTATAACGACCGACAGTACACAACAGCTTCATACCCACCTATACTACATATACATCACAGCAGCTAGCGTGAGTCCTGTCAGTTTAGCTACAAAGCTAACGTCGTACAAGATTAATCAGTAACCTTACTTCTTCCCACATGAACTGAAACGGGGACTACAGGCTTGTTTACTCGCTGTACGATCACTTCCAGGGAAAACACAACCTGGCTTAACGTTACCAATAACACGAGCATCTGCCCAGCGTTAAAGGCTATGCAGCAGCGAGAGGGGGCTAGCGCTAGCACCTTTAGCATCGTTAGCTGGCTGCCACCCCCCCACCGGTGGTTTTGCAGGGGGCATCGGGTTTTCCAAAAAAAGAAAGAAAGGGGAAAACACAGAGCCACCGGCACGCAGGGCGAGGTGACGCCTTTACTTTGCGTTCATGTGTTCGTCCGAAGGCGTGAACCCAAGTGACCATACCTCAGGATGGAGAATAGGGACGCAGCCAGCTTCTTTCTCATATTCCTCCATAGCGTCGGCCATCTTGGTGGTGATGCTCGCTGAGCATTGTGGGAAACAGGAGGCAGTGCAGGGGGGAACAGTCGAGGAGGAGGAGGAGGAAGAGAGGATCTGTCAGAAACACTGGTGATGTACAGGTCACAGCACATAGAAAGGATGTCTAAAGTTGTACAGCAAAAATATATTTACTATGATTTATTATGTTTCCTATAAAATTATTCGGGGGTTTTTGTGTTAGTACCCCGTTCTGGGGGTGGGAAGTGTAAAGATGATGGTTTGTTTTCCATCCATCCTCTCATCTTTTTCAGGGTTGCTGGAAAAACCAGCAGCAGTACCTGCAGCAGAGTAGCACGTTATTGACTCTGCCACATTGATTTTGTATGTTTTAGTTACTATTTTTTCTGAGATAGATTTACAATGTAAAATATATATTTGTATAGCAGGATAAAAATTTATTAAATTGGATTTTTTTTTCTGGGCTACTAAAAATATACAAGCAGCCAGTAAAATGTCTAATGTACTGGTCTGGTGGCCCAACAGGAGGGGAAAGGATGTTAAACAGTGGTGACACTGCAGTCCTTTTACTTTTATGTGGTTTCTTTTTACATAACAGTAACATTTGAACTTACTGTTAACTGTTGTCACCTGTACCCATCAACTGGCACAGGTCTTTGTGATCCCCAGGTTTCTGTAATGCTTGCAAATAACAGAGACATTTCCGTAGCATGTGGGACATCTGCTTGCCCTTCATTCTGATCAGCAGTGGAGCAGTGCATGGAGGAACATGATGAGCACTCCCAGAGTGACCTCTACAAAATGACCTCCAGCAAGTCACTGGTGTGAATGTCTCTGAACAAACCATCAGAAACAGACTTCATGAGGGTGGCCTGAGGCCCAGTGACCTTTAGTGGGCTGTGTGCTCACCAGGCAGTCAGACTGGTGTTTGCTATAGGATACTGGCAGTCCAACGCTGGCGCCCAGTGCGCTCTGTTTTCAAAGTGTCACTTTCATTTTTTGAACAGTGTATATTGAAGTGAAAGTTAGCTTTTCAAATTTGAAAACAGGTTTTAGGATATACAGTCTTTATTTTTGGCATTTGTAATTAGACGCTAGTGTAAATAAGCCATCCTCCGGAAAGGTGAGTTCAAATACAAGGAACTCCCTGGGGTTTCCTTCTAGGGCAAAATCTGATTTTGCAGACTCAGCTAATTAAATAGAAAACTCTTTCTAGTTCCACTTATTTGGTTTGCAGTTTGAGTAGTTCAGGTTTTGCCATTACAATATTACCAACAATGTAACATCTTATTCGTTTTGAATCAGATCTAAAATCTGAGCAACCGTATGAGTTAAGTATATATATCCACCCAGCTGGTATACTCACAGTATCTCATGAGCATTGTAGTTTTCAGCATTTTTATAACATAACAGTCGTATAAAGAGAGAGAGATAGTTATTTATTAATTTAATTTCTTAATGAATCCTTTGCTTATCCTGGTAAAAATGTCACCGAGATTAAAAATCTAATTCCCAAGAGAGATCTGGCATCATGCCAGCAAAGGTGATTTATTAAGAATACATAATTCTTAATAAATCGAGATAAAAAATTTCCGGGTTGTAAATGGTCCAGTACTATTTGGTTTAGGGGAAAAATCCATGACGACAAAACTAATTGATGGTCGAATTTTAATGTGAAACCATCGATGACACTACCGTTATACCGCTGTGCGCCTGTAGACGTTACCTGTCACGTCACGTGCACCTTTACCGAACCCAAAACTCCAACCACCACTAGATGTCACCGCACACCCAGGCATGGATACTTGCGGCTCCTCAATTGCAGCAGCTGCAATAATCATTGTAGTTATTACTGGGGGCAGAAAAATGATCAGCTACATTAAAAATAAGGTCGAGCAAAAACACACAGGGGTGCCCATGGTAGTTGTGACTCACGAAAACCCGGCCGAGGTAAAGTTTGAATTGATCACAATTAATTAATGTGCACGTCTCCTTAACAAATTTAATCTCAGCAAAAAAGCATTACTATATAATAATAACCTGATGAGTTATATATACGAATTCCAATAAGTAGTGTTACCAGAGGCACCTGTAACTGTCAGCTGTTTGAAAGTGCACCAAAGCGATTACACGTTTGACACGTTTGCAAGGGAAAATCAGACGTTACCCGAGCAGGAGGGAAATTTCGAGCTGACAGGTCAAGTTATCCAGTAAAAACCCGTACACGGGATATTAGCTGTTGGCTCTTCAAAATAAAGTCCCAAAGAGAGCCAGGGCAACCGTAAAATGATCAACTCTTGATGAAAATAAACTATAACTGTTTTATAAAAAAAATTATATTTTATTCACATATAAAACATTATAGGAGAGGGTGATTTAGAAAGAAAAACTGGACAAATACGATAAAGACAAGACATAAACTTTTATTTGCCATGTGAAAGTTATAAAATTGAAGCAAAGCGCACACTGAAGTAGTTTTCATGAATTAAATCAAACAGATAGGAGACCCCAAACTGTCTTATTTGGATAATTTTGACTGAAATACGTAATACGTAAATACATAACGCGGACGTCTTATTTTTTTTAATACCTTTTAGTTTGAAATCAGCGTCCGGAAGTCGTGCATTTTCCGGTTACATTACTTCATTTGCCGCAAAAACAGTCACGATAGAATCGTGCAGGCACGCTGGTGGCTAACAAATAGACCGCGGACTGCTGGTAAATAAATATTAGAAAGCGTGTTAGCATTGTCAAAGTTGATTTTAAACATTTCAGACATTAAAACTGGACCTACGTGAAGCCAGCGGGCTGAGGAAACCGCGAGTCATCACTCGCTGACGCTGCCCAAAGACAAGTACCACCCGTAAACATTAACACATCTAAAGCTAACTGTTAGCAGACCGACACACGCCCCGGAGGACTGCTTTTAAATATTTACTGACAGCCTTTTCCTTTCGTGGCACAGCATAACAGGAGACCTCCGGTGGAGCCAAGGTAAGCTCAAACAAGCAAAGAAAAACACCGAAATGAAAGCTAACCCCACTGCCTGCTGTTGATTACAGGCGGCTAGCATAATTGCTAATTGTGTTTGTGGTTGACTGACAGCCGTGACTACAGACGGTTTGTGCGTATTATTGTGTAATAAATCAGGATTAGAGGTAAGGACCGTAGCAGCTCCCGCATCTTCGTGCGCTGCACTTGTGCCCCCGGCATCTGTCCCAAATAAAACTCCACATTTAGCCTGTTGGTGTTAGTTAATTCAACGCGAATGCACCCCAGGGCAACGCGCTGAGTGATGAGGCTGGCTAAATTTGGATTTCCTGCCGCCCGCTGTATCCGGGTGATGTATGGGAGAAGCTGTGGATTATAAACCACACCAGCCTTTGCCACTTCAGCGAGTCTAGTGCTGATAATGTTGTTGCTTTTCTAATCCACCCCACCCCACCCATGCTGCCTTTCAGTCATATCTCGCTGCAGTGTTGGATGTCTGCAGCTCTGTTTCCACTTTCACTTGACAGGAGTGAAACAGGAGAATCACAGGGTAGCAGCAGCTCTTGCTAACTGTGTCAGACAAGCAATGCATCCGGTGGATCCTGGCGTGGTGTCTGATATCTGATATTACCATGTCATGGTGTCCACTTGCGATTTAACAGTGTTTTCTATGCCATACTCCTTTTGAGTATGTATTTTTAATAGCTGCAAGCTAATTCCACATTTAAAGACTTTGTAGTCTTTTTTTTTTTCTTGCTACTCAAAATATGCAGTGAGATGGTGAAATTATGTTGGGAACTAAATCTTGGGACCAGACTTGGCATCTGGCACTCATAAATTTATATTTGCAATATTTCCATATTTCCGTCTTGTGCCAGTGTGCATGTAAATAAGGGCAATCCCACACTTTCCATGGCAAACCTTTATTGAGGTGTGCAGTCTAAGGTCACGGGAGTAACCAGCTCATTTGCCAGTCAAAAGGAGTTTCCACTCAGACCTTATTTGAAGCACTGCTTGTTCCCTGCACACATATGGCTTTCAGTTTGAATGCTAGTTCTACTTTGAGAGCGCAGGCATGATATTAATGCTGACATGCAGAGGAAAAAATAGAGAACTCATTTCACTTTTGTTTGTTTGTACGGTGATATAAGCGTCAGCAGTGCCTGGAAAAAAGGAAGCCGAGATGATTTCCCACAGGTGTATTTCCGTGCATGAAAAAATAAGTGGTTGTTTCTTCCTCAATAAGTCAGACATGTCAAAAATGAAGCCTAGAAGCCAGAATCGGCCAGGCAAGGATCCCGGCCCAGTGGACAGCCTTAGAAATTATGAACAAGTACATAGATGTGTAACCATATTTTTTTAGAAGTTTTACAGCTTTTCCTATTGATAAAGACCCCCTCGCCCCAACACACACACACACACACACACACACACACACACACACCACTCCATTACCATTCACACTACACCAAAGTAATTAAGTAATAGATAAACATGACAAAAAGTTCCTGTTTTTCCATTATGATATAGATTTTTTTTTTACAGGACATTATTGATATTATTGGACAGTTTGGGCATTGAACTACCAAAAGTGACTGTAATTTTACACATTTATCACATAGTTTCAGTGGTCTGGTGAACTTAAGAGCCAAGTGTAGGGCTGTATGTACCACGGTGTAAAAGGACTTTGACATCCCTGCAATAAGTCGACCTCACAGTTTGTTTTTTAACTTAAAAAGTGTATCTGTCAGTTATTGCAGCCTTCATTTATTTTTGATTTGACTAATTTATTACATTTCAGTGTATATTTGTGGTCTCAAGTCAGAGCATGTAGTGTTTGTCTGGTGTGATTCTGACCCATGTTGTTCTGGGGTGGAGACCAGGAAGCAGGTTC